TTTCGCATTCGAATTTCGCGCGAGTGAACGGAGCGTAATATTACGCCATGCTGAGCCGGTTCTGTAATTTAACGCCGGTATCGTGTACATTCGTGCGAATGCAACTTTCGTTCGATTCGCTGCATTTTTCCGCTGCGACGTCCCACGAGCGCGCTTTCGCGGTCAGTCGAATAGAAAGATTCTCTTTTTGATAGAGAATCTGAGCTATCGAAATTTGTCGATCATATATATACAAATATAGTATATAAAGAAAGGATTTGTCTAAAATCCAAACTTATTCTTTGGGTCATCCGTTAATAAAAAGAATTCATATCGTTGAAGACAATGTCTAAATTACGTTGTATATAGTAACTATTGTTAGTATACTTACTAAGGTTTCAATAGTGACATATAAACAAAAACATTTTATATAAAATATTTTATCGTATCAGAAATTTCTTTATCAAATGCTGTAAACTCGTGTAAAAGCTTCCAGAGCACTCTTGTTGTGTTCGCAAGATCCTCTTAAAAATGTGAAATGCAATAAAAACATAGATTGACAAGTACACCCACAGCAGAAACGAGTTTAATACACTCGAAATATTTTGCGTCCGCAGCGAATTATCCACGAAATTATTTGCGACGCCTCATCGTCGTCGCGTCGAGTGCTGGTGTGCTCGATATAAATTGACAGGCGACACGTGGAACAATTGCGTCACATACGCGTACACGCCTCCGCTCTCGCGCGAGATGACGTTCCGTTAAATGCTTTTTCAGAGAGGAAACGACGCGACGTCTGTTCGTGAAACTATCGACCTCTTCTAGCATGGATATCGATATCGTGTCGCGTATAACAAAGCCTGGTAACTTCATCTACGACTAATAATGGGCGTTCGATGCCCTCTTTCGAAAGTTTGCTATTCAATGTCTTATAAAGTTTCAAATTGCTTTAAATGTCACTCAAAACTGAAAGTTCTTGAAAGTTTTCAATATCTTCAAAATTTGAAGAATTTTCCTAAATATAAATTATATATATGTATGTGTGTGTGTGTGTGTGTGTGTGTGTGTGTACCTATATAAAATTTTTGATAATAAAATTATCCGTATATGAAACAGAGAGAGAATTAAAAATGTAATAATAAAATGTGATCTTGCGATATACATATACATGTGTGTGTGTGTGTGTGTGTAAAGAGAAATTTTTCTTTTATAATTAATTATATTATACTTTTAAAATTTCCATAACATTTTTTATGACCTTCTTTTCTTAATACTCTTTCCAGTCTTTATAAAACAAATACAATTAATAATTTAACGACTATTCTAAACAATATACCTAGAAAATATTAATATTCACAACGATACATATTATGCATAGGTAGTCTAAATTCAGTAATAGAATTCGTAATCAATTTGAATGATGATTCTTAGAGTATAATTTCTAGGATAAGAGAGATAGATATTAATATTGTTATATAAATATGCTGTTACGTTTCACTTGTGAACCATTGTTATCGCTTTTAATTAAATCAATTTATTGATTTTATTTCAATTATTTCAAGTAATTCATTGACTGCAAACTCTGTAGTTCGTATTGCTTCGCTTTGACAAGTCTCTCGACATTGTTGGGAAAACTAACAGAGATGATATTTTCACACAAGTGGTCGCTTATTTAAATGTATGTATCAGCTTTCGTATTTTCATACGAAAAGAGTGCTCAGCTACGGCATGATTGCGAGATGCACAGGAATTCCTCGAGCGCGATAAGCCGTTCATCGCCCCGCCCGGTCTAAAACATCTTTCATAGAGCGGACAAAAGACATTTCCTCGAGTTTGACACGGGCTTTTACCGTTTTGGAAAGTCGTCTGACAACGTCTGTGATGAGAGTCAAAGAACATAAAGATCCATTCATGTAAGGTGTATTACAATTACGTTATAAAATACATACATATTTTTTTTAATTTAATAATTAAGAAAATGCTTTTTCAGGATGTTTAAATAAGCTTTACGAGTTTACAAGATATAGTTAATTATTAAATGTGATATATATATATATATATATATATATAATTCCCTCAGGTATAAGATAAATATTGTAAAAAAAAAAGCGTTCAAAATTGAGCGATAAAAAAAATTACAAAATGTAATAAAATTATTTATTTCTCTCACAAAAAGAGTTGATAATTGATCTTTGCTGTAACTGAACACAGTATTTGTCTTTCGATGATTGTCGTCCGAGAACGACGATTTCACGGGTCATCGTAGTGACTCTCTCGGGTCGGTCACTGATCCACACCGGTGATCCCGAAGAGGTAAAAGTTTATACCGTTACAAAAGAATGCCTCCTCCTGCGCGGTCAATGCGCGCTTTTACGTGACCGGAAAGATGCGCATAAAAGCGGAAGCTCACTCGCAATGAGATAACTAGCTTGTGAATTATTTATAATTCTATGTGGACCATTTTTATTCTTCTTGGAAGAAGGAAAACGTCTCATTTGTAATCGCGTTCCTCTGCAAAAATACCTATTATACTGAAAAAAAAGCCTGCCTCTTTTCTTTTCTAATCCATAAATGGAAATTCCTGGAGAAAAATCTGTTCCATTGTCGAAAGCACAAAAAAATCATAAAATATTTCAAGCATTGAAACATAACATACCTGAGCATTTATTTTCTTTAGAAATGTATATTCCTATTCAAATAAACAACTTTATCATATTCTGTGAAAATCTTTAGAGAATTTATATTTTTCATATAAATGTAAATATAAAAATAAAGAACTTATTTGATATATATAAAATTTGTAAAAAAAACTATATTAATTTAAAATTTTAGTATTAAATAAAAGAACTTGTGAAGAAGTAATTATATAATTTTAAACTTTAAAAACATTTTATTTATAGATTAAATATTTTTGGAATAAAATTAAATCGAACCCAAAAAATAAAAGAAAATCATGTTCAAACATAAAAAGATATTCACTTTTCTATACGATAATAATGTTATTCAGATTGTTATTGATACGATTCTACGTCATTTTTCTAAGGATCAGATAGCATAATTGTCAATGAATTTAATTAGTTCATTTCTCTAGTTTAGTTAAGAAATCTGAATTCTCTTAGTGATTTCTTTATATTGTTATCGCAACTTGCATGTGTACGTATAGGGAAACATTTCAGTTATAATAAAACATAAGAAGTTCATCATTAGTAAGATGTCGAATAATCAAGTAACGAATTTATCGAACACAGTATGTGATATAATTATTACTGTACAATGATATAAACGAACAAAATTAGACAAAATGAACCTTTGTAAAAAAAATTAATGATATTAGGATGGAGAAATGATTTTTACTAACTTAAATCACTTTTGCTTTCGATTGTTGAATCGTTCTGCTTTCTGCGAATGCATCCAGCGATATCAATTAATATCGCATCGCATGCAATCAGAATTTTTCATTGTCACGTACGATACAACGGAAGAGAAACGTCAAATTAGTTTATTGCGCTCGTTAGAAAATTCCATTATTCACGGAACGTTATAATTCTCTCATTTGGCACTGCTATAATTTCCTTGTCACATAAATACAAATGATTTCCTTTAAATGTTTCAAATAATGAATTATTAAATAACAATGGTCGAAAAATTTGATTTTATTGATAGAAAATACTTTCATATTATGGAAAATTAAATAAATTTCAAATAATTGAAATCGGAAGAATATGTCATGTAATTAATTTTAACAAAATTCAAGTATCTGTAGTAATTTTATGAAAATTATCGTTACGCAATTAAAGAGAAAATTTAGCATAATCAAAATTCAATAAGCTGCTGAGAGAGTGTTTTCCTTGTTCATCGTGGCATCTGGTATTGAACTCACTGGCGGGAGATTTCAATAGATTCAGCGTCCTCCATCTCGTTATCGCATCACATGTACTGAGAATGCTATAGAGAGCCAAATAATATAAAATACATTTAATGTAACACATTCACAGAACAGTAAAATAAACTTGATAATCTGCGATTGAGTCTTGAGACGCAAATCCAAAAAGGTAATACAAAAGACGTAGACTATACGAGGAATAAAATTTCATCTTTTTTATTGATCATATCTTTATATCTATATTCTTTTAATTTTTTATTGTAATTCTTTTTAATTTTCTATAATCTTATCTCCGTACTTTATTCATGCTTTAATTTTTGTTTTCTTAGAAAATTACTTGTTTTACACTGATAATTTTCCCGATGATATATCTTTGGCATTGACATTTTTCTACCGATTATTATTTGCAATGCGATAAGCTATATCGTTTATAAAATGTCGACTGCCAGAAGTCTCTTTGTCCAATATAGCCGAAATGCCAGACTCTCTTGGAGCGTATAACGACAATGTTCTTCTCATAACAGTACCTCAGGTAGACGGTTATAGGTAGGTGCGCAGAATGTTTCGAGGGTAAATTTTTTCACCTGTCATTGTTCCTTGTTGCTGGATCTATTCATAAATTTTGAACAAAACGAGAGATAGTGCAACCGTCGATCCTAATATGTCTAATTTATAATAATTTTATTACTTAAAAGTTCATAAAAAATTTTTACTAATAAAATATATATTTTGTTGCCAAGAAGTCTTCTCGCGTAAACATAATATAACTCGAATTAATCACAGAGATTCTTCAAATAAAAGTAATAATAAAAGAATATATACGTGTATATCGATCATTCTTGATCCTAAGCTAAAAGCTATAGCTCAATTCTTAAGAATCTCTCGTGAGTCATCCTAGATCATGCGCCCATTTATATTCAGGATCAACCACAATTTGGTAGCTTTTTGATTTGTCAGTTATATTCTTGTTCAAGGGTTTAACATTCGGAATCGACGCGGATTGAAATAATTTCTCTACGCTTAGGTTTTCTCGTTTTCTGCCTGGACGTCGTCGCGTCGCGTCGGGGCCCGCGACGCTCGCACAGAGCGATGGCGACCGCGACCACAGCCGCGACCGTACAGGGGGGACCTGACTCACCTGCCACGACGTGTCGAGTCCGCATTTTCCGGCTCCAAATCTTTTTTCGGCTTCTTCTTCTCGTCCTCTCACGCACTCAACATCCTGCTCTTCCTCTTTCTACCTATATTTTTCCGCTCGTACTTTTCACACCGTAGAAAAAAGAAATAACTTCCCGCTCCGAGATGGATCCTACTGTTTCTGGTCACCACTCTTTTACCTTCGCACCCGCGCGCGCACCAACTTCGACCGACGACGAACGCCCGCCGAACGAGACTGCAAGCCGATACCGCAACAGAGAACACCGCCACCTTGCTCGACCTGCGTCGGCCCCTCCACGGCATTCGAGTATTGCTGGTGTGAGTTACCTGGTGACCACGGTTACCTGCCTGTCCATTTTCCTGCGCGCCAGGTATAAACAAAGAAACAAGAGATATGATTTAAATATTAAAAACAAACACTTGGGAATCAAAAATAAATATTTAAGAATTGACAGTATAAGGAATTATTAGTATTAAGTGATAAACTTAATAAACGAGGGAACATAGCATTTTGCAAAATACATGTATTGTTAATTAAAAGGCAACATTAGAATTTTGTAGAGTTTCCTTAAGAATTCCGAAAGAAATTAAACAGACGAAAGTATGTAATAAGTAAAATGTGTTCTGTTTACACTAGTAGCAGAATCAATATTGATCCTTGTATTTAACCAATGATTCCTACAAGTATAATACAATTATTTATAGAAATATTGAGGTATTATTAAAATACGAATATAAGATTATCTTTGAACTGTATATTTTACAATTTCTCTATATGGAGCAAAGACCTGCGTCCTTTATTTATATTATATCATAACATTATTACTTAAGATATAATGTAATGAGGTAATTTTCACTTATACTTTTTCACTTATATTTTATCAATAACTGTAATGATTTATTTTAAATGCAGTTGAAAAATCGCACATTGTAAAAATGCATTAAAAATGTGTAAAAATTATTTTTATATACAATTTTATTTTTTAAAAAGATCGAATTCGAAAATTAGAAAATTATTTATACACTTTCTCTATTTTAAATTCTCTAATGATACTATTTCTTATTTTGATAAACTTATTTTATTAAATGAATAAAAATTTGGTTTTATTCAAGAAAATAGAAATAGAATAGTGGAAGAGATTATTTTGATATTAGATTTGAGATTTGCATTATTAATGTATACACAAGGATATACATATAGTATAAGAAATGTATAAAGGCAAATAGAGAGGATATTTCTAAATCTGTTTTTTATTCTACACTAGACTTTTTACACAAAAACTTTTTTCTCACTTTAAATAAATGTCAAACGTACATTATATACCTATTTCACTTTAATAAGTTGTACTTTTTGCAGTCAGTGCAGCATTTTCGCTTTTTCCCTCTCAAATAACCCTCTTTTAATGTAAATAGACCTATTATCAACCATTTTGGTTGTTCCCAAAATAAATAATGAACATTTTACTCTATTTTTAATCATAGATAAATAAAAGATATATATTTTTAATGAAAACAGTGATTATAAAAAAGGTAAAATTTATCATTTTTGAATTTATCAATGAAAACAATAATTAGTAATAATGTTAACATTTTTCAATAATCGTTGCCATGATCTTGGGATCCTTTTGGTAGTGATGTAAATTTACCTAAAATTGATAACGGTATTATTAAATAATAGTATCTCTTAAATACATATAATAGTGTATGTGTCCTAAGCACTATCGCTATAGTACATCTATTTCCGAGTTAGATATGTATATTATATTATAGATAGGCGGTTGACCTTACGCGGAGGCTTCGCATATATAATTAGTAAAGTTTAAGCGATTAAGAGTAAGAAACTAATACTAATTTTATGATTTATTAATTTCGTAGACACGTATATATATTTAAATTTGTCAGACCATAAATTTTTAATATGTCGTTCATAGATTTTAATATCATTCAATATTATTAAGATCCAAAAGATGCTATATATGTGAGTGTCAAAATTGTTAAATTGTTATAATATTTTTGCGGTAGTTTCGTAGAGAGGCGTTTTAACACCGAAAAATTGTTTTGTGTACAGTTTAAAAGACTACATACGTAATATATGTAGTATAAATTCATACGGTACTATAATAGCATCTAAAATCCAGCTCGGCTGATAAGGTAATTTCTTGTGGTTGTGTTTCTCACATATACGGTCCTATAAGATTTAATATTTAAATATTGATTACATATTTAAAATTCAATAATAATCGATTTTTATTTCAATAAATTGTGATTTATCATCCGAGTTTGATTATCGAATTATATATAATATTACAGATTTATATCAATTGTCGATAATATCGCTCGTTCTTCAATATATAGTACCCAATTCGAAAAATGGATATATTGGCGGTAGTGTACAGGGGGTTTCGACGATCCCATGAAAAAGACCTGCCTGGGTCCTTCTCAGGAGAGAGTCTCAAGTTTTTCTCTGCCATTATAGATAGGCTGCGCTAGGAACAGCTAGGTGAGCTTAGACACTAGTATTTAGAAAATTTAGCAAAACTATCAAAAGCTACAGGTTCCTGGCTTCTGCGGCCGCCTGAGTCGTCGCTGTGAAAATGTCAGCTCAATGGTGGTGATTCACACTCTGCTTGTTTTGCGCGAGCGTCAATCGGCTACACGTTCTGTGTTACAATTGACTGCAATTTGACCACCTTCTGCTCGAGCTGCGAGCAGGTGAGTGTAAATAGGTATATGCATGTTTTATACACGGATCGTACCGAACCATACGCGTCGCACCGGATCGTCAATAACGGCACTCGTTAACGATCGAATCAGAGTCAGGTTAAGTGTATACTCAGACTACAATATTCTATCTGATCCTATCCTCATCCATATGTGTGTCCTCGTGTGCTGATATCAGTTTCAATTAGACATAAGATTAGTATCTGCTGATATGCCCTTCATGACAGTAGCGGTTTTACGCACGCCAAGTAGGATTCCCGCTCCCGCTGCACCTGTCAAGTGCACTTTCTAAAGCGTGACTCATACTATTACTGATGAATAGTTAAAAAAAAAAGGCTGGAATGCCATTCTAGGAAAGCCATTCTAGTCTATCTAACTTATCAGTAGCAAAAGGTCTATAATAATTTTCAGGTAACTTTTGTGTTTGTAGTTGATGAGATAGCAGATAAGAACTTGGACTATCTTATACCTTCATTGTACTTCAATGTTTGTATGCATAAAGAATTACCTGAAGAATAATAGATTAATAAAAAATAATTTATATATTTTTTTGAATATAATCGTTCACTCGTTAACAATTACATTTTTATTTAATTTTAATAGTAATAATTGATTCAATTATGTATAATAATAGGTATGCTAAACTATGATGAAAACAGATTTTATTAGAAAATATTCTAAATTATATAATTATATATTTGTGGGAATAATGACATTTGCAATATTCCTCTGATAAAATTCTTTTCTTGCTTTAAACATATTACATAGTAATTATTTTTTCTTTTTATTAATTATGTATAAAGTATAAATTACGTTAGGTATATGCTAATACATGTATGTACATTGAATGATAACAAATGTAAAGTTTATTAGGAACATGTTACTATGTGAAAAATATTACTACTTCAACAAAAATAAGTAACTACTAATAAAGCTTTATATAATTCATCATTTTAAAATATTTTTTAATAAGAAAATGTCATTCTGATGAGTAATACTCTCTAGGGTGATGGAGGAACCACTGAGTCAAGGTGCCTCACCGTCTAGCGATGGCAACTTTTCAGCAGGCGGTGGCAGGGAAATCAATTCGACTACGGTAGTTAGTCTAGATGAGAGGATATTAGATATCACATCACGGCATTCCTTAAATGTTCTTAGAACACCTCCGACCAAAAAGGCAAAGAGAGTTCGATTCTTCCGCAATGGAGACAAATATTACACAGGTGTAGTGATGGCAGTGACACCTGAAAGATATCGTAGCTTCGATAGTCTCGCGTCCGATCTAACTCGTGCTCTAGTATCGAGCGTGACCCTGCCAAATGGAGTACGAGCGATATATACCATGGATGGTCGTAAGGTACAAAGTGTCAGCGATCTGGAGGATGGCAAGTGTTACGTGGTATCTGGCCAGGGCGAAATCTTCAAAAAAGTCGAATATTCAGCGTCTAAGGTCCGTCGTGGCAGCTCGCTATCTGGATTACCACAATCGCCAGCAGCTAGTAGTGGTGGCGGTGGTACCGGCAGGCAGACCAGCGCCATTCCGTTGTGCGTGAAAGCGCGCATCGTGACGCTGATCCGCCACGGTACCAAGCCACGTAAGGTGATGCGGCTATTGTTGAACAAACGCAACGCGCCGAGTCTTGAACATGCAATGGAAGCGATTACAGAAGCTGTAAAACTGGACACCGGAGCGGTGAGAAAGGTGTACACATTGTCAGGTCAGCAAGTTACTTCGCTCGAGCAATTCTTCGAGAATGATGATATCTTTGTGGCTTACGGCCCAGAGAAGTCCGTACAGGAAGATTTTGAGCTGGACTTTGAGGAGAGCAAGTGCGTGCAGAGCTTCCGTCGTTGTCCATGGAATTCTAAGCGACAAAGTGGTCCAATGCCGCGAATGCCGAGAAAGTCTGGTAAAAAGACACTCACTACGCCACAAGTCAGGACTCCGAGTCCATCATCTTTGATACTGCCACAGCCTCTGAGAATGCATTATACCGTGGGACATATAATTGGAGATGGAAACTTTGCTGTTGTTAGACATTGCACCCACAAGTAATTATTCAAAAACTTAGTAAAATTGCATATTATTTAAAAGAAATAGAATGCAAAATATAATACAATATTATAATTTATTTAGCCAGAGATGTCTTTGATGTTCCAAAAAAATCTGACAAAACGTTGATAATATTTTAGATCTAGTGGTGCTGAATATGCTATGAAAATTGTGGATAAGTATAAGTGTCAAGGAAAGGAGACAATGTTAGCAAGCGAGGTAGCGATACTAAGACAGGTTTGTCATCCCAACATAATCAGCTTGATTGCGGAACAAGATACTGCCGATCAACTATTTTTAGTCATGGAACTCGTTAAGGTGCGTCATTGAAAGAAATTTAATGATGTTGAAAACTAATTAACGACACATTTTTAATTTAACTTATAACGTAAAATTGAATTGCAACAAAAAATGTACATTAATATAATTCAAGCCACATTTGCTCATTCTTCAGGGTGGAGATCTATTCGATGCAATTGCAGTGGCGACAAAATTCTCCGAATTAGAGGCGAGTGTGATGATTAGTCACTTGACTTCTGCCTTGGCTTATTTACATTCGCATCATATTGTACATCGCGACGTAAAGCCGGAAAATCTCCTGGTTGAATTAGATGGTAGTCATGTTAGGTGTTTGAAATTGGGTGACTTTGGACTTGCGCAGATAGTGCGAGAACCTTTATACACAGTCTGTGGTACACCTACTTATGTAGCACCGGAAATCCTCGCTGAAACCGGATATGGTTTAAAGGTATATTAACTGGTTATAGTAAATTCATTATTTAAGATAAATAATGTTAATTAAAAATTAGTTGGAATACATATAATTTTTATATTTAGGAAATATATTTTTAAAGACAAAAATATAAAAATAATAAATAATAATAAGGCTCTATAAGAATAAAACAAAATAGAACAATCAAAGGACTAAGAGACAGTTATGAAATAAATAACGTTTAATTTAAAATAAAAATAAAAATAATTACAAACGTTTCGACGGGTCATTCTCAATGTTACAGTACATAAATTATAAATATAAAATTATTGGAAATCTATAAATTATTGTTTCATAATTCTCGTTTTTTCTTTTAATGTTGCAAGTTAATAAATATAAATAATCAAATTGATCGTTGAAAAATTCATAGTAGAAATGTAGTAATAATCTAAAAAGCGACTATTAACAAAGGAAAATTAATGCTATTACATACAAACTAAAAATATATGTATCAAAAAATTAATGTTGATGTCAAATAAAATGTTGAGAGTCAATGGATAAAAAGTACGCAAAAAGTTCATTGTGGTGATACACAGTAGCTATTTTTTTAAAAATTAGTTGGAGCAAGATTACAAAAGAAGTAAAGAGCAAGTGGTCTTGACGATGTCAGATAACGTAATGTCAAGAAGGAAAATAAAAACGAATAACAGATGATGACAGGAAAGGGAATAATGAGAATACTCTAGGAAGGGAAAAGAGAATGTATGATATTAAAATACATTTCAGGCAATAAATCCATATCATTTTGTTTATTGATTCCATGTTTCTGTCTTTTTATATGCACCATTTCAGATATTAATCTCTTATTATATGAAGGTTCAATATCTAATTAAAAATATAAAAATTATTAATGATAATCTATAAAGATATGGAAAATAGATTTAGATCAGATGTTTGTCTTTAAAAAAATATATTTACATCTGTAATGAATCCTACATTTATCAATAAATATATATTTTATTTAGATTGATGTATGGGCGGCTGGAGTAATCCTATATATTCTCCTGTGTGGTTTCCCTCCATTCGTATCGGTAGATAACGAACAAGAGGAATTGTTCGAGCGTATCTTGAGCGGTCAATACGAATTTACATCGCCGTATTGGGATACGATATCAGATTCTGCGAAGCAGCTCATCTCGAACATGTTGCAGGCACAGCCAGAACTTCGTTTTAGTGCAGAGGACGTACTAGATCATTCGTGGCTCGCGGTAACTGTCACTGACATACAACATTATTATTGTACTTCACAAGTTAGAAAAATTACCGTGTTGCCGCACCCGCATGGCTTAAACCCCTTTCTCACTCTCACAGTAATTGAAAATGAGATTAGTATCGGGTGGTTTTCGGCTATACGACACGTTTGCTATTGCATTTATTATTTTGAGCACGATTCCTTCAGCTCCCATCAGCTCGTCACGCCACACTACATGGAAAAAAAGTTCAGTGGATTTATAAATGTAACACTAGGAATTTTAACATTTAGCTGTAACAAAATTACCTCGATTTTTGAATTTATTTAATTTTATTATCCTTAATCTATAAAAAATTTTATGTATGTAGTATCGTAGAAGGAATTAATAAGTATTTATAGTGTATACAATTTATATTATAAATTCTTTAAAAAAGATTACATGTTATAAATATTCTTATATAGAAATGTAATCATTTAGGAAAAAATAATTTTTTATGTAATTTTGCATTATGCGCTGAACAAAATTTTCATATTACGAGTGTGGTGCGGTCGTAAATCTACCTGCCTCCTCTATCGGCTTTATTTCAAACACAAGACTAAGAAAGCTTTTGTAGTGGTTTGCTGTATCTGTAGCAGTGCTTTTTCTTTTCTTTTGTCCCGCCTCTGTATATCAACAGAGCTTTCTAGGAGGCGAGCAGACCGCAGCAACAGCACCCGACACACCGGCGGAGCAATACTGGAATCAGCAGTGTAAGCCGATAAGAATGGCCACCTTCGAGTTCGACTTCAAGAAGCAGCGCAATCAACGACAGGATGACGATACCAAGATAAGAGCCGAGTGGAAAAATAATATTGATTATTGTGATGTACCGCAATTTATCGATGCAGAGAGAAAATTAGATGAGCGAAATCACGATGAAATCGATTTTGCCAATGGCAATAGCAATGAAAATAATTTAGTAATTCTTAGTTCTGACTACTTGAAAGATATCAATAGTTTGAGCCGATCAATGCATGATTTAATAGACAATTTGAATGATAATAAAATACCACGACGTCGTCTCAAATCGCAAAGTGCTACTTCGTCGCTCAATAGCATTCCAGAGAATTTGAACGTATATAATTATCGCAGCAATTCACCGATTCGTTGTAACGAAATTGCTGAGAAAACAGTCGTAATTTCTACGAATCATCGAGGCGATCAGAAAAACGGAAACTCGTCGAAAGAACCAAGATATCTTCACTTGAATTGTGAAACGGCGAAATCAACGAATAAATCTGTCGTCATGAATCGGCGAAGTAAATGCAATCAAAAGAACTTGTATGAGGTGAATCGCGAAAACAGATTCGACAGCAATGACTTCCGTAACAGCAATGCAACTGCGTCAACGTCGAGTGACAGTCTGACTGGCAACAGTTCCACTGGTAACGACATTGAGACTTCTGACAGTTTTGTAAACATTCAATTCGCACGATTGGCACGTGGGCAAAGATCGAGCTCAACGCAAAGCATGGAGTCGACTGATAGCTTTGAGAACGTGAGTTTCCGGTATACAAATCAGAACAACTGTCCCAAGAATCATTCTTCACAGATTTCTTCGAAGCTAGAGAATAATCAGGATCAGAATACGTCCCCCACAAGAGGGATACTGCAGTCCCAAATAGCTGTATGGAATACATTGAAGTTACCTAAATCATTAAATAATGAGATCGATAAAAAGAATTGCAATAATCCGTTCCGTAGAGTTAAAGAAATAGGCAAATGCGCAAAGAATGAGCCAGTGAAGCTGCGACATGAAAGATACAATACTAGGAAGAGTCAAATAGACTCGAGAAATGCCAAGAGCAAAAGATATAGCTGTTTTTCTCCATGCACAACGAAGAGATCATCCGAGGAAGTGGGCAACAGCGGCAGTGACGATAAAGTCGCGACGCGGAAGTTTAGTTCAACGGACGAATTGCGCGACGAAGTAAGACAGAAACCGCTACCACGGACGAAGCGATTCAGTCTGTATTATACACCGCAGCCGTTGAGGAAGACATACGAAAACGAACCGAAAATCGGAAGAATCACGTACAAGTCAACAGGTCATACACAGAGATCTGAGATGAGCAAAGGAAAAAACGAAGAGGAGATGGAAAGAATAGATAGGAGCCGAAGATCAGTGATGGACGCCTCAACGATCGCTAGCAGGAGTAAATCCAATAGGCAAAATGTTCACATGAGATCAAGTGGCGTATTGAACACAACCAGGACGAAGTGATTTGAAATTGTGTGGATGATGCACGCCTAATTCACGCATCAAAACGACGAAATCCAAAGTCTAAGCGCTTTAAGAATGAGACAATTGCGATTTTTATTAACACTGCACTGGTTAAAATCCATTAAGTTGGTTGACAATTTTTTTTTGTGCAAAGCGATTGAAAAGACGAACCTCATTAAAATTGAAAACTATTTTTTTAATGACTGTGTATATTGCGTGGAAAAAAGTTTCTCACGTTAATTTAAATTTCATTAAATTAAAATTAGACAAAATGACATTAAATATTCTGCAAAGAAAGAAAAACGATCTCATGATTCTTGAATATTTTGGACTTTAAGATTGATGGTATTAACGAAAAGCATTGTGGCTACAAGAATTTATAATTTTTGTTTTTCTGAAAATTTTTAGTTTATTATAAATTACAAGATGAAAACAAAATATTAATTACAAAATGAGGAATTAGGGAGTTACGATATTTTTAAAACTTACTATTGATAAAATAAATTTTTAAAAAAATTGTACCGAAAAGTTGTCAAAAAGTTATACTTTTTATTGATGCCGGAAAACGATTCTCAAATATTGTAGTTCATCTAATAAAAAAAAAAAAAAAATAGAAAATAGAGCAAAACTTTTTTAAATTTATGTATATCTCGGTACATTTTTATTACTGTTGATGATTAAATAGCTGAAAGAGGAGAGAAGAGACCAAAGAGACGGATATATAATCGCGAAGTGTAAAAAGAGTTTTAAGAATAAACCTAGATTGAAATTTATATCTGCGGAAAAATTACATTTACCAGTATTAACTTTTAGAGTTAATCTGGAGGACTTATTAGCTGTTGAAATCCCGGTTGCAATTCGTCCTTTTTTAGATATTATGTTTTTAGTTAGAGTAATATGTAATAATAATTAATCTCGCGCGACAGTGTTAACCGATAATAATGTAATCAATCCTTAATCGTCCGAGAATGAAAGATGACTATGTCAACAGCACTGAGATAATAATGGATCTCAATAGCGAATAATGATTGAGATTGAAACGGACGAATTTGGAATTAAGAACAAAACATGCCAAATGCATTTAAGTAGGTTATTTTATATCAGATGCTACGTAAGTCTAGCTATAGGTAAAATGCAAATGAATGAAGTATTCAATCAACCCTTTCGGTACCGTGGCGTGAAGGAGACTTTACTAGGATTCGTATTGACATGAAAATTAATAGCAATTCTTAACTTATTTATACTGATATATTTATATATTTTATTTTAAACGAAAGAAATGTAAAGGTGTGAAAGTAACACCGAGTAGTTCCATAAAGAGTGCAATGTAAGATCGTAAGGGTTAAGATAAAGAATAATAACTAGAAGGATTAAACTTCATTTTTGAGCGATTAGCGATTAGTAATTGGTATTAATAACGTAAGAATTTTTGCAACGGAAAACAAAGGGCGACGAATTGGGCGATTTTGGGATGCTGGATAAGCGTAATACACATTGAACTTACTCAAAGAAAAAAGCGAGAAAATAATTATTTTTATAAAGAAACCGCGTTGTAGCAATAAATAAGATGTGACACTGAGAAATTGATGAACGAGTGCATGCGTTGCAGAAAAAGAAAGATGATTATTATTAAAATTATTTTTGTAGATGTTGATAAGATGATGACAAGAATTGACAGTGTCTTTTTTTTTATTTCTAAATGGAAAATATTCTTTCATCTTATAACTGGTTTTATCAGATTAAAAAGAGCCATGTTTTATGCAAAAAAAGATTATGCCTGTTATCATGTAATGAGTCATTTTCAAGTGCATGCAATTATTTATTTAAAGTTGAAGTTTCAAATTTTTTAAATTCGGAAATTTCAAAAATAAAAGGATGAGTTTTGTGAAACTTCAAGACTCGATCAAGTTTTGACTTTATTAATTAAAAATTATCAGAATCATAATCGCGCTCTTTGTCGCTCGAATATTGCTAATTTGTGGTCTCACTTTTACTGCAGCGATTTCCGACGATTTTTGTATCGCGCTCATGTGATGTCTATCGATAAATTATGTACATAATTGTAATGACGTGTGTAAAGCTTGATTACTCGTGAAATGATAAAAATAATATTACTGTGATTCGTTCACTCGTCATTCATTTATTTGCGTTTCCCATTATGAGATTCTGATATTTAGAATATGTTAATAATAAAAAACGGTAACAATTACTTTTTGTTTCTCGTTCTTGTTTTGTTATATTGTTCTTAATGTAATAAGCATACCGATCTGCGCGCAATTTACGGTAGTTTTTAAAATAGTAGTTTGTAGGTTTTAAACGTGATTTATGCCAAAAATTAAGATGCATATTATATAACTAGCTATTTATATTATATATTATTATTATATTATTATACATATATTCATATATATATATATATATATATATATAAATACGTAATTGGCGAACAAATTTTTTATCGATATTATACAATTTCATTCTCCAAATTATTTCGTTAATTTTTTTGCGATTTGCACGAATAAAATAAAAGAAAAATGCAATGTCTTCGTATTATAATATGTTGCGAATTTATGTTTATTTTTTTCAATATGCATTGTACAATTATGATTAATAAAACGTTCTAATAACTCTTGAAATTATTATTAAAATAAAATTGCGAAACGTATTTAAATTTATGAAATATAATTAATATATTATTATTAATATTGTTTTATTACGCGTTAAAAATTTTATTATAATTTTTAATAGAATTCTATTTTTGAATTGAGATTTTGATTTGCGATACCGGGATTTTCAGACACAACTTTACGCGAATTTCATTCTTGCACTTTTTTAAAAGAATAAAATAAATAAATTGCAATATAAGTATTTATTGTATAGTTGAGTATCGTCCATGCGATACTTGATGCGATACTTCGAATTTCTGTTTTATTACTGTTTCAATTATTCGAGATTATTAAGCAACACACATCATTATCATAAATGCACGTACAACTATTTATAATGTACTGCCACGAAACTCATATTGAAAAATATAATTACAAAATTTCACGGCTATCTCATTTCTACTTTATTCCCTTCATTTCTCTTCATGATTATAATTCCTATCATGTTAAACCCTCCATGTTAATCTTCTAAAATTATCAAATAAGTACTAAATAATAATAACATATTGAGAATTATTATTATTTCCTATTATATTTTTTTTTTTAGGATCAAAGACAATTCAATGTTCTATTTATTAGCCATATGTAGATAAGAAAAATCAAACTTAAAAAATTTAAATTACTTACGTTAATGACACACATTCGAGAATTAAAAGTAAATTAAAAAAATATATAAAATACAATTTTAAATATTATAAAAGATGCCTAGTTGAATTGAAGTACACAAGAGTATATTACTTCTAGTAATATAACATTTTATCACGAGAGTATATTTCTTCTAACAATTAACATTTTATCTATAACATGCTTCTCTCTCTCTCTGCTGCTTAATTAATTTTGACAAATATTTAATTACAAATTACATTATATTACAATAGATTTACACGTTTGTATCAAAACACAGTAATATACTAATTAGATGAAATATTATATCAGGATTAACATATTGGTAAATATGTAGTTTAGGGAACCCCCCAATGACCTTAATCTTAACATATGTTGTCAAGATCATAACCCTGAGTGATCTTGAGGAAATTTTAATTGTCGGACGTTACTCATTAAAAAGTTATGAACAAAAAAGTTTAAGAAATAATATCTCATTTTTGCTATATAAATCAAGGATTTATGTACTGTTGTACAATAAGGAAAGATAATAAAATGTAATGAATATATTTGCAAAAATTATTATTGTATGGTTGGAGAGGAGGTGAGAGTCGCTTCGCATAAAAAGCCGAAACCCATGTGCAACAGTACAATTATATGGAAGTCATGCGCGCCCTTTTGGCAGAGGGAGAGGTGGAGTGAGAGTCGCTTCGCGTAGAAAATCAAAACCCATGTACAACAACAGTACAATCATTGCGACCCTTGGCTTATATATAGTAGAAATCAGACATTGTTTTAAAAACTTTTTCTGTTCATAACTTTTTAACGAGTAACTTCCGATGGTTAAAATTTCCTCAAGGTCACTTAACGAAAGTAAATATTTAGTTTAGGGGAGCCCCTCCCCTAAACTAAATATTTACCTTCGACAGTTTTATATTACGATTGTCGACGTGAATATCTAACGTAAATATCTCTAATTGGAGTCGTACCTTAATAATAAATTACATGTAGTGCTAATTATTTAACCCGTGCGATCATGAACAGTTTTGTTTGACATGGTTTTTCGATAATACTTTTATATGTTGTTCTAGATACCTATATCATTATGGAACATGTTGAAACGAATTCCGGTCGGAATTATTCCATTTTCTCTAGAAAGATCAATAGAAATTTAGGGAATAATTGAATGATTTCGATTAGAATCGATTCCGACATTATTTCCTGATAGGTGTCCTCATCTGATTGAAATATTCCACCGATTTCTCAATTCCTACGTATTGTAGATATTTGCATTTTTAATTGTCGATCACTTTTATTAATTATTAACGTTGTCCGCGTTAAAAGCATCGAGCAGGCCAGTTGCGGGATTCTCTAAACGTTTTATCGATGATTGTCGTTAACTACCGACAGCCAATGGCAGGACAATCCTAAAAGAAAGCGCGGCTCTCATTGGCTGTCGCTAGTTAACGATAGCGATAATCATCGATAAAACGTTTAGAGAATCCCGCAACAGGTATATTAATTAATCGACATACAATATGTTATCGTAAAATATAATTGATCGTGATTGAGATTTCTAGAAATATGGCGGAATATAGTTATTGTAAGTTTTCGTTTTCGTTAGCGGAGTAAAGTTCGCGCGGTTTAAATCTTGCATTTCGATAGTTTATAATCCAATCGCGCGCGTCGCGCGTTTCGGGTAGTTCCGTTCTCGTGACGTTTCGTGTCGTTTTTATACATTAACTTTTTTCTTCCAAATGCTTCGCGGCCGTCGCGGGTGCAAAGATCGCGAGTGGAAGTCTCGCGCAAATAACACGAAAGATCGTTGTGTTGATAATTCTTTGTATATTGCGAGTTTTCCGTCGATTTGCGCGAGTGAGTGAAGAAGCATTCAGT